ATATATTAAAACCAGTCTCAACCGGAACCTTTAAAAGCCTGAAACCTGTCTTAACCGGAACATTTCTCTGGCCCGTAAAGTTATACGGAATAAAATGTAATTCATTCGAATTAAATGCAATTGGCAGAGACGAGAGATATATTTAATGTAAAGAATTCACCTGCAATTCTGTATTAAATTCTCTACCTCGCGCGACTTAGTCGTGGCAACCGCACAGTGAGTGGCTTCAGTTGACAACGTAAAATTCGACCGTGGGGTCACTTGTCTGTCAAGGCGTAGGCCGTGAGGGAATCCTCTCCCTCCAACTCTGAAGGTGAGGGAAGGGTGGTGGGCTTGGCTTCTTCTCGCACCTCTTCTTGTTACACGTTCAAAATGGTAACCCGTCCGCCAGAGACGCATGACTTAAGGCAATGCAAGGGTACCAGAAAGTCATAGTACTCTGGGCTGTAACGCATTGTGGGTTGAAAGAGTCAGCAAACAGTCCATTAGGTGGTGTGTATTTTTATGAGTTTCTCAACCCGTTTAAAAATGCGAACGCCATTGAAAAGCTCTCAATAATCTTAATATTAATTTATTAGTAATTTCTCCCATTAATACGTAATGCTATGTAAATATATTTTTATAATCATTATAAAATCATGTAATTTTTATTTTACTTCACTTTAATTTGCTAGTTTCATAACGGAAATATCAATATAAGTGTCGTTAAATGGACAACCCTGCATAATACGGAAACCTCCCTAGACCGGAATATTTTTTGCCCCAATGGATGTGTGTGTATATATATATATGTATATATGTATATGTATATATGTATATGTATATGTATATGTGTATATGTATATATGTATATATGTATATGTATATGTGTATATATGTATATGTGTATATATGTATATGTGTATATATGTATATGTGTATATATGTATATGTATATATGTATATGTATATATGTATATGTATATATGTGTATATGTATATATGTGTATATGTATATATGTGTATATGTATATATATATATATATATATATATATATATATATATGTATATATATACATACATACATACAGAGAGAGATCAAAGACTGATTTTTCAATTTTTAAAACATTTACATAGTTTTTGCATGTTTGAAGATTAATAAGATCGCTGGTGAGATTGATACCTTCTAATAATGTAAATAAAAATGTTGTCCAGTATCAAAAGTACTTTTGATACTTTACAACACATTTTATGTACTTTATGTTTGAAGATCTTTGGGTACACCTCTTACCTTCCTTTATTTCAACATAAAAATGGGTATATCTGTGTTCAGTTTTGATTGTAATACAGTAAACCCTCGTTTACACAAACTCGCTTAATGCGAACACTCTGTTAACACAAACAAAATTTCGGCCCGGCAGCCACGTACACGATGGAGTTTTATCGGTTGACGCGAATTTCGTTTAGCGCGAATTACGAACTACGTTTTAGTCCGTTACGTTAATATATTTCTTTCATTCAGCACGAACTTTCAAAGTTTCTTTTTTTTTGTTTTTGTCTCTCTGTGAGCCGTATCTATGTATATATATACACACACACACACACACACACACACACACACACAAACACCCATAGGAATTCTATGTCCACTAGACCGCTACATCCTTGCCCCAACCTAGAACTGCCCTGTTCAAAACATGTGTGCGCGCTTCGTACTGAATGCGGCTTATCTCATGACATCAGTCCAAGTCACAAGTTGAAATCTACTTGTGGTGCAGTAATAACCCGCCGCGCCTAAACGACGTCTCGCACAAACTTGCGCGTCAATAATGAATCATCTATCAAGGACTAACGAGAATCCTCCCTCTGTAGCGTTTTCGCCACCTTTTACTTCTGCTCGGAGCCCCCTCCCCTCGCCACACTGCGCTGAATTCCGTGAGGCTTTGAACGCGTCCCCAGTTTCCCAGTGCCTCCTACGTAGGACAGTCGCTCTCGTGGTAGCTTCGCCAGTACGTTAGTCTGCTATAGCTGCAAGCAGTATCGTAAGAGGAAATGCATGGCCAAGACGACGCAAACCAGCATAGATCTACAAACTAAACACAAAATTCTGGAAGAAGTAAACCGTCGTGTACTGAACAAAAGTAAAATTGCTGAAAAGTATGGACTTCCCAAATCAACCTTACACAATATTGAAAGATCGTGATAAAATCCTTAGTGCTTCTCCATCTAATTCCGGGAACGAATACTATATGCGACATCACTGTGGGTGTGTCAAGCTGGCACAGCCACTATATCGCACTTAGTCACATCAAACAAAATGGAATATTTAGTACTCTTTTATTACTAATTTATGACTCCAAAATGAAATGTATTACTCGTGGCATTTACTCGTGCCCGTTCGTACACTCTAATATAATACTTGAAAGTCTTGCGTGGTTACATAACTATGGTTTTCAACTATTTATTTAATAAACGGCAGCAATAATAAATTTCCATTTTTTTCCATCCATCCACTTCTTTTAATTGATTGTGCCCGATCATATTTGAAGATATGGTTGGATAACTATGATTAAGTTTATCAACATTTATTTAATAAATTGAAACAATAAATTTCTCGTAATAAATTAGTATTGCGTGTGTATTTAATTATCTATTTAGTTTTATATGTGTGTGCACGTTCGTACTTATAATACTCGAATTTGTACGTGGTGTCATAACTATGACGTTTATAACAAAATTTTATAAACGACGACTTATAAATTTAATGTGTGGGTAGTTGTAATAAATTAGTACGATGTATTCGTATTACTTTGAATAGATTGTGCCCATTTTTTTAATTGGGTTGTGCCAGCATGTCAGTCACGGCACTTCATTCACACATTCACGTCAACGGCAAGTGCAATAAATTTAATATTTGGGCAATAAATTAGTAATAAAAGTATTAAATATTCCATTTGGTTTGGTATGATTGTTCTATAGAGGTTGTGGTAGCTTGACGCACCCTTTCGCAATGCTAGAAAGTATAAGTATGCATAAGTATAAAGATTTTGAAACTTGACGTCTAGAATGGTTTAACCATGTACGCACTTCCAACATTTAAGGGGATTTATCATTCAGTCACAGGCAAACGAAATTGCGAAAAAAATAGACATTTCAAGATTTCAGTTGTTCCGGTGGTTGGCCCTACCGGTTCCAAAAGAGAGACTCAATTTCATCTTTACTGATTTGTGCTGAAGCAAATAAAGTTGGTGAAGAAGAAGCAAAGAACTGGCTGAATAAATTTGATAAATTAAGAGAAAAGTGTGTCTCTTTTGATGCCTACAATATGGACGAAATTTTTTACAAATTTCCCCCAAATTA